ATAATATTGATGAATTTGGTAAATGTACATTTTAGAGAATATTAATGACAATGAAACTTTTTTAATATAATGAATTTGAAATCTGGTATTTATGGAAATTAGAATGAATCAGTTTTTATTGTTTTAAACTTTAATGATGAATTGGATAGGGGTTATTTTAAGGAGACACTGCTAATGATGAAATGTTGTTGTTAGAGTTGGTTAATGTCAATAGATTTTTAAATGGATTTTGTACCTGCCCAAGGATCAAGGACTCCAGATAGAAAGTAGATTGTAGCTAAATCTGGCACAGAGCATCTTTTCTCTCAGAGATGAATGTTTGTTTTGTGCACTGTCCTTGTTTTAAATAAATAAATAAAATAAAATAACAGTTTTGAACGCTCATTAACATATAAACAAACAAAATAATTATCTCCAAATGCCATCCAAAGATAGTACCTAGTTTCCAAATAGAAAACACACACACACAAAACTTCCTCCAATGCAACTAAAACAACTGGAATTTCTCAACAACAATGACACACAAACAATCACTAGTTATTGTTGAAGTACAGGCTTTGAAGTCCAGTATTAATTATTGCGCATGTCATGCCACATAGCTTGCAGTCAGTACATGTTATAATATTACAGTACCTCTATGGTCATTTTTAATTGTATTATTTTATGTATTATTATATTGTATATAATGTTATTACAGTTCTATGGGTCAGAGTTTTGTTATTTTAACAGACCCACGGCTAAGACACACGCTCTCTCTCCATGGGCCCCTCCCCGAAACATCTTCATTACGTCATCACTAAGCGACTCCATGTGAGCACGCTCGAAGGTAGGGCAGAATTTGTTATTTTGTTTGAGCTTTTCATTTATAACATTCAGACACTGAAACCCTACATTTAACCGGTTACTTCTAACTTAACTTCTCATGTCCGTTTGCTAGTCACTGCTGTCGTATTCACGAGAACCACTGATTGAGTAGAAAGTGATCTTGAGTAAAGTCGATACCCGAACACCGTTTTTACAATATTTGTCTTTCGGCTTTTGTCAAGGCTGGTTCTTTCATGACAGCCACACTAATACTGTGACCCTATCTCCGATTGTGACTTGACTGTGCATTACTTTTCAGGTGGAGGGTCCACCACCTTCTTGTCTACATTACTTTGGCTAAAATATTCCATTGTGTGGCATTAAACTTGTACATTTCCATGGAGACAAGGACCTGACCAAGACCAAGTTACAGGACAGAGGCATGCCTGCTCGCGGCGACAGTGCATGTTTATGTTCTTTTTGAGCAATAAAGAGCACCTGTAATTGACTATAGACAAATGGTTTAATGCCATACAGTGCAACATTTTAGGTAAAGCAATAATATCTGGTGGTATTCTCTCCAGAATAGATACATAATGCACTTTAAACCCTAGTTTATGATGACTTTATGTAAAATGTGTCAGAATATGCGAAATACTAAATAATGTTGGTGTTCAAGTAGAATTCCCAAATGTAAAATGTTCAAATAGGATAGGATCTATAGGATATGATGACTTACATTACTCTAATAATTTTTTCTTTTTAGGATGAACGTAGCCAGACAGTGGTGTGAGGGTCATACTTCTCCCATCCTGTGTGTGGGGGCAGCTTCTGGTCCAGAGGGTCTCATTGTCTCAGGATCAGAGGGTGGACAAATAACTGTCTGGAACCAGGAAGGTGTCATAGTTGGAAATCTCCAACTAGCTGGTGAAGATGACTGTACTAGTGTTATTTTCTCACCATCCGCTCCAGCACAGCTCTATGTGTCTCATGGAGAAACGGTGAGTGTGGTGGACTACAGAAACCTGAAGAGCAGTGTGGAGCAGTTTAAAGGTGTAGGTGAGGAGGAAATCAATGCTCTTGCACTTAACGAGACCAGCTCGGCATTGGCTGTAGCAGATGACTCAGGAGCTGTCCGTATACTGGATCTACCGGGGGGGAAGGTATGCAGGACTTTACGCAGACACACCAACATCTGCTCCTCACTGGCTTTCCGACCACAAAGGCCCAACAACCTTGTGTCAGTAGGACTAGACATGCAGGTCTGTAAACTCAATATTTTATTTGTTACTTAAATCCTATGTAATTGTTAATGTATTTATTTTTTTCCCCAGGTCATACTTTGGGGTTTACAAAAGACCCGGCCTCTGTGGACCCTTAACATCCAGGACATTTTGGAGGAGGAGGAGCATCACCAGCAGCCGGGTCAGCTCTTCAACCCACCACTGGCCCATTGTGTTACAGTGTCCAGTTGTGGAAATATAGTGAGCTGTGCAGCTGAAGATGGACGGGTACATCTGATACGAATTGGTAGTGGATCAAAACTTGAGCAGCAAGGCTCAGTCAAAGCCCACAGTCAGGGAGCCTCACAGGCACATTTTGTGAACTTTCTTTCTCATCCATACTGGCTCATCAGTGGGGGCAATGATAGCCATGTTGCCCTGTGGGATCTCAGTAAACACCCTGTAGTGGAGGGAAAACTGAAACACCAATCTGCAGGAAATGATGGGAGACGGAAGAAGAGCAAAATCAAAACTAAACACAAGAAAAAAGACAGAACAGCGCCATTACAAGAAGCTGAAGCACAAAAAGACAGCTGCAAAGAGAATGAAAATGCAGCAGAGACTGAAAGTGTGGATTCATCTAAGCCCAAACTAAAAATCAACCATGGAGAGAAGGTGAACTGGCTGTGTCCAGCTGTACTGAAGGGGCAGCCAAGTGTGGTGGTGGCTGATCAGAGCTCTAGTCTTACCATCTACCCACTTATCACAGAATAGACAAGAGTTTCATTGGACATTGGCCTTTGTAGTTTAGTTTGACAAAGCTTTCACTAAACAGTATTTATGGTGGCAGATATTTTACCGTAATTTAGCAGAATGACATACTTAACAAAGTAAATGGATTATTAGTGATCATGCATATTTTCATACAACCCCTTTGCTGTCCTTGTCCAACATTGACTTATAAATGGCAAGAATTAAAATTAAGATGTAACTCCTTGTTTTAATTTGTTTATCTTAAGTATATAACACCAGCAGACAAGCAAGTGCTAATTTTAAATATTTTTATTAACCATCTTTTAAACAAGCAGAAACTATAACATAAACGAGTAAATACAATCACTTTAAAAGCTATTTTACACTTTTACACAATTTCAATTCAACTCCTGCCAAAGCAGTGAAAAGGCACTAGTAGTCTGACTTTTGTTCTTTTTTTTTTTATTAGTTTCTAAATCTTAAAGTCTTCAGTCTTTCATGTTCCATTTTAAAAGTAGATATAAATGACTGTGGTTTACAAAAATAAGCTGCGCCAAGTATTTAATTTAACCCACAAATTGCTTGGCTGTAATAAACTTTCTATTCACAGTACTACCAAAAATCCATTGAAAAAATGTTTCACACATCAAACAAACTTTTAAACTTTTTTAAATAGGGTGAACATAGATGTTGAAATGATTTTGTACTTGGTTGGTGTTATCTTACATTTCATAGATTATCTTTATGGATTCTACAGCTTTGCCAGGCTTTTCTCCAGATTTTCAATGTCTGCTTCTCCCTCTTCACCTTTGTTGCCACGGGCGCTACACTCCACAAACTCCACTTTCATGGGCAGCTGGCTGAAATCAAAGTCCTTCCCCTTCTTTCCCAGGTACACACTGCCACCAAGAGAGCCATCCTGAGAGCTCAGAGCTGCAGATCGAGTCACTCGCAATGTGTTCCTATAAACAAATGCACAAATAACATATTCAAACATACAGATTTATACATTATTAATGACTAGTTTTAAGTAACAGGTAGCCTATAAAAGATGCAGAAAAAAACAATGGCTTCAATGCTTACAGTTCCTTTTCCAGTTGTTGTTGAATCAGTTTGGCCGATTTTGCCATTGTGATATCTGGTAATAAGGTAAGGGAAATGATGCAGTGGGATATTTAATGGCATTGGCAAAGAAATAATAAAACAAAAGCAGGTTTACCTTGTTTGTTGCATGCTATCAAAATAACTGGAGCATTTCTGTAGATTACATTGTCTGTCAAGAGCACATACAGAAACTCAGCCACGTCACGGACTTCTTTCTGGAAAATGGCACTGTCGACTACAAATACAATAGCTCTGAAACAGACAGATAATTTTTCAGACGTGTCTAGGGATTCAATGATACTGGGGATTATTATCACTATTGGCATAAAGAATGAAATGTAGTTTTAATAAATATCAATATTTCCCACTCCTTCTGAATCTGTCCAGCTTACCTGGCTGCAGACTTGAACTTTTCCAGATACTGGGAACGAAGACTGTCATGTCCTGGAAGATCTATGAGAGTCCAGGTGCTGCTCTGAAGGTAGGAGGCAGATTATTAATACAGTTACCTCTAATGTTGACTCAGTTTAACATTGGTCTTTACTCACCTTGTCGTTTTTGGTTTTATATGGAGCACTGCTGTCAGTGATGGAGGTCTGGGTTCTTTTAAACTTTCCTGACAGCAGCTGTAATACAACATAAGCACATACTCCACATTAAACTTTTATCCATGCTTGTGTGCAATGGCCATGATGGTGATGTGGCCTTACCCGGCTGAACAGGAGAGTCTTCCCTGAGTCACACAGTCCAATCAACAGAACTGAACTCCGAACAGTTTTACTTGTGAGAAAATATTTCAGAAAAACTGAAACACAGAGAGCACTTGGATATTACTTAGTGCATAACTGTAGGTAAACTACATGAGCATTTGACAGCTGCTCACGTTTGATATAATGCAGAATTTGCAGATTACTTACAATTAACACAACACTCTACTATGTATATTTGCCGAACAAATCGCACATTAATGCCATTTAAAAGTGTGTGTAAGATATTGCTAAGCCCATTAGGCCTAGCATGGTAAGCTAATGCTAGCATGCTAAGGAAGGAAAAATTCTTACCACATGTGATAATAATAACTGCCAAAGCAACAATAATCGATATGAGGAAAACTGGATCTTGTTGTTCCAGTTGCTGTCGAAGAGTCTGGATATACAGCTCTAACACAGATACAGCAGTTTCCTCTTCTATTTGGTCTCCCATATTCAGTATGTGTTCAACCTCCATCAGTGAACGGGACACGTCTCCTTCCACTGCTTTGCCCCACGGCCTGCCCGCCACAAGAGGGCGCTGTCCTACAACACCCGGTGCCTACATAGAGTTTATTGTGTGCCTGCTGCACTTTTACCAAGAACACTAAAGTGAATAAGGTACAACTTTATTCTGCCTTATTCTTTAATCAAAATAGTTAAGACTGATATGTCAATTAGACACAATAAAGGTTGTTTGGAATACAGGCCTGAGAAAAGAATTGGGGAAAGTAGAGGCCTAACTACATTTATTTTCAGATTATATTATTTTAAGATTATTTTTTTTTTATCGACTGAAATGACTTATGTCCGTCTTCACGAGTAATTTGTAGTGATTGCATAGCTTCTTTTCTTTACAGGGACCAGATGCGGTACTTGTGTTTTACGCATTTTGACTCTCACTCCTTGACTCTCACTCGTTGACATTGACATTAAAGTACGTAAACGTTCCCACCAATCTATAACAAGAGCTCGTGTGTAATTGATGTGCTGTTGTTAGAGCTGTTTCTCGATGGGAAGATACAACCAAGTGGTTTTCTGTGGAGTTTGCTGAGTGAGTGAGACTTGCTCTCCTCAGTCCATTTGTGTTGCTATTCTGATTTGTCAAGGAGGAGCTGAAGCAACAGACTTTGTTTGAGCATCGTTGCTGTGTGGACGAGGAAGATGGTGGCGTTATCGTTTCTTTGCGCCTTGTGCATTTGGATGACTACAGTATGCTCTTCTGCAGGAACTGGAATTATTTATCACATTCCAAGCATCACTTTGCCGCGTCCGCGCATCAAGTCAGAGCAGACCAGCACTGGACCACCGGGCACCGGATCCCGTACGCAGCTCAGGTGGGCTCCTTTTACCAGATTCAGCTGACTGTATAGCAAACACATAGTACAATTAAAAGAACAATCATATGGATGTGATATAGTGATTCAGTGGTATTTTCAATGTGCTTTTGTAAAGCAATGTTTACATTATTTTCAGGAATTGGTGTCAATATACAGTTTCCAAGACAGTGACCTGTCAAGTACATAATGGAACAGAAACTTCTGTGCAAAGAGTGGTTCAAAGTTGTAGATGGCCCGGACCCTGCTCAAAAGTTGTCAGGTAGGAAAATGGTTTAGCCTTATTGTCTTTACTGAACCACTACAATTATCCATTTCCATACACTGTGTTAATAATAATAATGAATGTATACTAATATATAAAGTATTTATTATAGTTTATTTGTTTTCTGGTGTTTCTGCAGTTACAGAACTGTCATCCGACCATCCTTTAAGACGGCCTATAAGCAGGTCACTGCTCTGGAGTGGCGATGCTGTCCAGGGTTTGTTGGAGAAGAGTGCAGAGAAGGTAATTTATGATTGTACCATTCAGTTTATACACCAGAGAACTCGGTCTTCATTTGTTACCAAAATGTTTGTGTTTTGTTGTCCTTTAGTTAGTTACTCAATTGTTCTAACTAATGTACTTTGTGCGTCATAGCTTAAGTTTACCAGATGTACATCATACCCAATGAAACTGAAATCGAATGGACTCTCATCATGGTCCTTCTGAATAAACAGACTGAGCCGAGTGTGAGCCAGTTTAGGGCTTGGTGATGGGCAGCACTCTTCTTAGAAACCACAGACCACAGATGTTAAGCCTAGAAAACACAAAAACTTTCACCCAGGGGCCAGACACCACAGCTAGACTCTGAGGTTAGATCAAGGTCCAACAAGCCTGTCCCAACACATTTATTTCTATACCTCATGTCTGCAGTGCTCACCACCACAAGCTTTAAACATGAGCATAATGTCCTCTGAAGGCATGCCTGAGGTTGCAGTGGCTTCAACATGCTTGTTCTAAATGGACAGCCATTCAGTGTTATAGCATTTTTGCAGCATACAGATTGTAGAGCAAGGCAATGTGGCACAGCAAAACATTGGCATGACCCATTCAATTGTATCCAAGATTAACAGTGACGTCAGTGTGAATGCTTTTGGTCACAATTACCACACCTTGTTTCATTTTCCTGAATTATTCATTGTTGCACTTGGAAGGTTAAAATTGATGATAAGTAAACACTCATTTGCTGTAATAGAAAAAACACTGACATAACTATCAAGGCTGTGGAAATCATTTTATGCCCAGGTTTGGGCATTATTGTACATAAAGATATCCTCTAAGTTGATAATGGCAGAGCTTATGGTTCACTTGAGACTCAGTGGGTTGCAGCAGTGTGAAGAGGTAATGCTCTTTGTTTATTTAATGTGAAATGTTTGCACTTTTGGCTAAGCAGTACGGAGAAAATTACCTCCATATGGATAATCAGAGCGCCAGGTTTTATGCTGTAAATAGGCATTAAAGGAGTGGACTGATGTCACTGGAGTCTGACTTTACAGTGTGTGGAGGTCAGTGGGTCGGTGTTACAAACTCGAGGATCAGAGACAGGAAGAGCACGTTTTTGTCCCAATGAGCTCCATCTGCTGTGAACTGCCCCAACACCAATGAAGAGGGAACTGTGGGAACATGAGCCCCATAGAGATTAATGAGCATGACTCCCCACAACCGGGTCCTTAACATACATGACCACGTAAAGATCAGGCCGTGGCTTAGAGGCTATGACTGGTTTTCCTTATGTGCACCAAAAATATATATATAAATACCAGTGTAAATTACCAAAACTCCAAGTATTTTGTGTTGAGAAAGAATGTAACCCCTGAAAAGCATATTAAACTTGAGAACATGAATGCAGTTTTAATTTTCCCCCAAATCCTAATGCGGCTGTGCCTTAAGCCTTATCAGAACCTGAGCCTCAACCAGTGACATCAGCTCATCGGGTTTGAGTTTGTTGGTAATCTGGTACAGAGGCCCTCAAGGTTGCTAGAGATGTAGAGATAGGGCCAATGAAGGGATCTAATGTTAGATTTAGTTTTTGGTAAGCTGAGAAGACACTTCCTTTCCCCACTTTCACACACTGTTTTCATCCTGTGAGCCTTCTTATGTTTAACTTTGTACCTATGTACAGTTGTGGTAGACTTTAAAGAAGCACTTTGGATATGAATTGCACTATTATCTATTATCTATCTATTTGTGCTGATGATCTGTCTATACTGTATATGTTTTATTTATACTTAACCAAAATCTATTTTAATCAACTTGCCATGTCCAGTAAATCATTTTATTCAATGTATCTCATCTTATTTATTTGTTATGTTATTTTGATAGTTGCAGAATTGATTGCAGCCTTCAGGGAGTTGTTTCGCGCAATCTGGGTTTGGTGTTCTTTTATAAGTAGTAGGGAGGACGTCAAAGCATAAGACAGAGCCACATATACTGTAGAGTTTTCAGTTCTGTCTCTACACTCAGAAGGTACATCAAAGTCCCCTTATCTTTTAAAATAATTGTATTTTAAAAGTACCTCTTGATCTTTTTGATTGCATTCATCTGCTCTGAACCACTTGGCTATTTTTGCCCTTGTTTAACCACATCCTGCTGCTTTTGATTTCTGTCTTTCCACTAACCTGACTTCCAACATGATAAAACTAAACTAAATCCCTTCTGTGCTTGTCTGGACCCAAGTGTAAGTAAGTGATATGTCTGATGTCTGTTCCACCTCTGTTTGTGCTCAGATATAGGCCAGAGAATACCCCTTGACCCAATGGGAACCTTGGGATCTCCCAGTTCCTCTCCGCTCCTGATTTGAGTGATGAGCCTGTGCCGTTACTCCTTCTATTCTTTCCATTACGTGACATTTCCCACTTGACTTTCTGTCAGCTTGCTCAAACATCTGGCATTGTAGATTCATGCGAGAGACATTAATGATGCAATTTTGTACTTTTGTCAAAAAGGTCACCTCAACATATACTCTACTGTTGATAGTTTGAGGGCAGGCATTGAGGTGCTGCTGAGCTCTCTTGCTTGTGGATATAGTGTGATTTTAAGACACTGGATAGAAGGGCTGTGGTTTCTTCATACTGTGTTCCACCTATTTCTCCCTGATTTACAAGTCAGAGTTGTTACATTGGTCCACACTACCATCTAGCGAAGTGTGGGTTGGTTTGTGGGTTTAGTCTGATTGGTGATTATGTGCCCAAGCCCAAGTCACTGTCTAAACTAAGACATACTTGTAAGCATTGTAGCATTTTGATTAAACTACGGTTGTATGCCATTACATATTGACACATTTTATATCAAGCTGAAGTTATCTTTTTCTAAAGTATTGTGTGGCCATGGAGCTTGTAAAAGCTAAATAATCTGTCTTGATATCTTTCATTGTGAAGCTGTTTTTCTTCTATAGTGGCTGTCCATCAGGCTCCACAGTTAAAGCCAATGAAGACTTGCTGAGTGACAGTATGTGTGTGAGGTAGGGGATAGTTTGTACCAGCTAGTGTCTATAACCACCATGACTGAGGCAAACACAGCTAGACATTGAAGCTGAATGAGAGTGGACACATTGTTTGAACAAATCATTGTTGTGTCTCACTCAACAGACAGACTAAAAACGGTGTTTAGCTGCTTTGAGTGTACCCATGTGTGTCAGGATTTGTAATGTTGTTGTTGTTTTAAAAAAATAATAATAAATAAAAAGCCTGTCATTCATTCACTTTTCATTACTTAATTTCAACACCAAGAATACATGTACACTACATGTGAGCCCTTTAAATAATTTAACATAAATTAGCTCCATGAGATTGCATACAGTCATAAACAGTTTGCCTGTCTTGATACATTTTATAAAAGATATTTGTCCATTTTACAAAATTATGGATGTAAAATGATGTAAATATTTACACCATAGTATTCTGATAGTATTCTGTACATAAATATATGTACAGTTTTCTTCTTTCTTCAGCTCTCCATCAAAGAACAGATAAAGTCATGTGAATGCAGAAAAAAAAAACATTTTTTGTACTTTGTATTTATTTGGTGTGCCACACATTCTGAATTCTTCCCATGAGCTGAGCACAATCCAAGAAAAATAATCCAGACCTGCTCTGCCATGGTGTAATTATGGACCCAAACAGACTGTATAGCCGTTGTCCCATTTTAAACATAAGCTTTAACACAACGGAAGTTTGGCTTTCTAACCCAGCATAATTAAATTCCAACACCAGAAAAAGGGATCCCGCACACCGCTTTGTGAAAAATATCACTGTTGTTTTGCACTGCTGGACATTTCTGGGGGCCTAAGTAAGTTCAGCAGTGGGTGTGTGTTAATGCAAGTGATGACAATTACTTGAAAACTGCAGCACTAAAGCATGTTTCAAGATTTAGAAAAACTGCAAAATTGTGAAATCAAGAAATATTATGAAACCAGTTTACTCCTGACTCCAGATTTTGTTTTCTGGCCACATCACCCAGCCCTAATTTTAGGCAATGGACTCTTTACACCTGGCAATCAAATGAGAACAAATCATATCCTTAAGTACGGATAATTTGTTGATATTGTTAATGTGCTAAATGTAATTTTATTCTTCAAAATATGGCTAAAACCAATTTTTATATTTAAGTAATTTAGACAGCGCCACAACAAATGTTTAAAAAAAAAAGTTACATAGTAAACATGTATTCTAAAAAGCTGTGTTTTGTCCGTGGGTGTAATTTCTCCATGTTGTTTTCTCTTTGTCAATCCTTGTTTGACTGAAAGAGCTTATGTTATGTTGTAGCGTAGTCTAAATCGCACTACATCTCAACAAACAGCTTGTGTGGGGTCATCGCGCACGCAACACAAGGAATGCATTTTGGGCTAACTTGTTAATTGTTGTTTCCGTTTGTGGCTGCAAGTTAGGATTTTATTCAGGATCTTAAAGTAAGGCATTTGGGGTGAAAAACATGCCTCATGTGTCCAATATGTCAGTGTTTCTTCCGTAATTATTTTCATGTAAAGGACCATCACCTTTCTTTGTGTACTTTCAAGAAGAGAATTAGGTAGACCAAGGTCCTTCTCTTTTCTGTGTATATTGTACGTTTTTGTTTTTAAGGTATCCCTGCTATGACCGCAATGTGGGTGGGGGAACAATTCTGGGGACTGACAGCTTCATTCCAAGTGTCTTCTGGGCCATTCTCCAAAGTACATGGCTTACATTTAGAGTAAATCCATATGAAATTGGGCAGCACTGTTTTATGGGTTAGCACTCATATAAAAGGATACAAAATTGCTCTCCAAACAGGAAATGTGTAGTTATCCATGGGTTTAGCAAAGCTGGGTTTGCTAAATAAGAAAAAAGTAAAAAGCTGGAAATAGGCTGTCATCTCAATAATGTTTTCCAGGAAGTGCATCTCTAAATATAGAGCTAGACCACATTGACCATCTTCATACAAGTTTGTTGTGCCCTTTGACCTTACATTTGCTTGGGTTTTTTGTATTCTGGTCTAAACCACTATGCATAAAAGTGTGTTTGTTTGTGTTGCCATGGTACTAATGGTTTGGGCATAAGGGAGTGGATGTGCGTCTGGGTGCACAAGTCATCTTGGGCAGACAGGAAAATGCAGAGTCAGAGCGAGGCAGGTGCACTGTGAGTTGCATTTGTGTGCTGAGTTGGAGAAGGAGAAATAATATTTATCCTGCAAGTAAATTACATGATTTAAAGAGGAATTCCTAATAACTTTCAAGGTCTGGTTTCAGTGGTCATTATTCTTGTGCATTTTGGCTTTATGTGTGTTTTGAAAAAAGGCATGTGGAATGAGAATGGCTCATTCTAATTTATATACCTTTCATATCATTACAGAGTGCCTGAACTGTACAACATTCTCCCAAATGAACAGCAGAATTGACAGCATTGAATTAAAGGTAATAAGGATCCTTATGTATATAAGTAATACTAAGGAGTCCTCAGATTTATTACTTTTTTTTAAAGATCAAAAGTTTAGTGGACGGACTTCCACTGCGGCCAACAGTGAACAGTTTATCTCAGGGGTCCACTGACAACGAGGTGGACGCACATCATCCTACACCACCATCTTACCTGCCCTCAGGTAAGTATACTAAATTAGCTTTTGTAAAGTATTATGCTACCACATCAAATTCTAATTTATGTAAATGTTTAAAACGTTTCAGTTAGCAGTGGATCCCCGGGACCAATGGGTCCACCGGGCCCTCCTGGTCCTGCTGGACCTACAGGTCCTCCAGGAAGATCCGGCCTTCCTGGGGTCATTGGTGAGAGAATGGAATTGGCAAAGCAGTTTTGTTCTTCAAAACGATATGACGTTTTTAAAATTATATTTGTGTTGTCTTCACCATCAGGACCAAAAGGAGACAGGGGTGTCGCAGGGGAGAAGGGTGTTCCAGGACCTCCAGGACTTCCAGGTCCTCCTGGTCCTCCAGGACCTGGCTTCTCTCCCATTCAAACTAGGGGTGATGTTTTTCAAGTGAACACCCCAAGTAAATATATCTTTTTCAGATCTTTAACATGACATGAACTTTAAAGAAGGATTCAAATTAGATCAATCACAAACATGTTGGAGTTACACTCCACTATAGAGAAACAAGACAGAGATATCCATACACCCCTATACACTTCAGTATGTATGTAACTTGTAATTTACTTAACTTACTTTTATGTGTAAATAATAGGTTATTTTTGGCTCATGACCAATTACCTGGTATCCCCAGTTAGCAGAACATAAGATAATATCATAATACAAAATTAAATTCACAATTAATCAAAATAATTCACTAATAATGATCATAAACTCCCTTGTACGTTCTCCCGATCAAAGGACTAAATTATGTGATATCTTCTTGGCATTCTGTACAGTTTTTAGGGTTATGAACTACAGATAAGAAGTTTGTCCATGTGGTGATTGACCACATGGAGGCAGCAGAGGACCACAGAATCTACAGTCTGTGGTTCAGAGGCCTGCTGGCTCTCATTACGTTTTGGCTGGGTCTGTCTCTGAGCTGGTTCTGTGTCTGCTACTCTGGAACTCTGTAGATTTGGGTCTGTGGGAGCATGTTAGCGAGTGGGGTTGGGGGTGGGAGCACTGGCTGTAAATCAGGCCTAATTTGTTAGCTGTCAGCACAACAGTCTGTATTTTGGGGAACAGGCCACGGCTCTAAGCCAGATTCTGGGCCGGCTATGAACAAGGGAGGAGATAGTCTGCCACTCATGTGGAGTTTCTTGGGGAGGCTGCCAGGGACTGGGAGAATGTAACATTAGAAAATTAGTTCCAGAGGGAAATCTGCTTCTAGACCATTTCTAGGGACCCAAGCCATGTCTGAACACGGGGGAAGACTCTGAACATATGTTCAAGTGGTGAGAAAGTGGAAGTGTGGCACAGATTCAAACAAAACTCACACTCATAAGATTATTCTTACATTTTGACAAGACTTCCTTTTCGTGTATCCATTTTCTGTGGATAAAGATCAATGGCAAGTGTGTCCAGCTCCAGTACCAGGCCTCATTTAGACTGAGCAGCTGCTTCTGCCCATCACTGTCACATTAGACTGATCCGGCTCTGCACTAATGCTGAAACCAAAGCCTCACTGTTGACCTGATGTCTTCACTTGCTTCAATGCTGTGGTTTTGGTTTATGTTGTATGGTTAGCATTAAGATATAACAGGCCAGGACACATAACTTGTTCCCTCAACGCTCAAATGTGCCCAATTAAAAGCTACTTTTAAACATTTTGGGTGTCAGTTGCCTGAAAATGATGAAAGGAAGTCACATGAATAAAGTCAAGCACTTTACTCTCCCTTTGAAAAGGCTAATTTGTTCTGTTCCAAAATTAAAACAGTAATTGGTATTATATTTGTTCTTTATTAACACTGAGCCTATAAAATGTGTTTCTTATGGCTTTCTACAAATGAAAATTTTACTTACTTATTTAAATCTCTTCCACAGCTTTACCCCCTTCTCAGGTGGTTGTTGGTCCACCAGGTCCAGTAGGCCCTATCGGCCCTGCAGGTAAGAATCCTTTCAAGTTAATAAGTTATTTAATTTCATCACATACCTTAGAAAATACAGAAAATATTAAAATATTTTCTTTAAACTTCCAGGTCCTGCAGGACCTAGAGGACCCGAGGGGATACCAGGGATTCCAGGACAAGACGTAAGTCCTGTACTGTTAATCAAAAATATTGTGATATCTCTCTCTCTCTCTCTCTCTCTCTCTCTCTCTAGATATAGATATAGATATTTCATATTGTTTTCTGGTTTTAGGGGAAACCAGGCCCCCAAGGCCTAACCGGTGTCCCAGGACCTAAAGGAGACCAAGGTGAAAGGGTAAGACTACTGTTCCACTGTTTAATTTAGTGTACTAGTCTCATGCCTTAATAAATCAAATTGTGCTAAACCTCTTGTTTGTTTAACACATAAAAGATGAACTTTTTTTTTTTTTAAGCATCCCTTAGATCCGTGACTAATCATGCTGTCGCCAGACAGGTTTCTTGTTGGAGTGGGATCCCCCCTGCATTCAGCTCTGAACCACATAGCATTTTAACCTGATCCTTTTCCCCACACAGAATAATTTAAGATGGGAAATGGAGCACATATAAAAGCATGCGCATTGTGAAATATTCTTTTCTTTATAGGGGACTCCTGGTGTGTCAGGCGAGAAGGGTTTACCTGTAAGTGCAGTATATTGTTATTGGATCAGTGTTTTTTTTTTTTTTTTTACTATGTAAAAAAAAACAAATCTGTTTTTAACAGGGACCACCAGGGTCAAAGGGTGAACCAGGAGAAGTTCTGAATGAGGTGGGTTTTCATAACACTGAGTGATACCACTGTATTTTAAATCATCCCCATAAAAGTGTGTTGTTTAGAGTGAGGCCGTGCAGCAGCTCAGGGAAGCTCTGAAAATCCTGGCAGAGCGAGTTCTGATATTGGAACATATGATTGGCATTCACGGTGAGAAGAAGACACAATTAAAGGACAGAAAAGGAACAGGCAAATTCTAAATATTTTTTTCTTTATTGCAGAAAACTCTGAAGGATCTGGTTTTGGCATTATCTCTGACCCTTTGTCTTTGCCCACCATTAAGGTTAAGCGCCTTCAAAAGCCTAAAAAAACACAAGTACAAAATGAGAGACAGAGACGAACCTCACTCTAAGAGTAGGCTATTTTAAGTGTGTATTTAAAGTACTTTGTTCAAATATTGCAAAATACCCTGTCAGGACACCCATTTTTAGGATGGATAAAGGATGATGCATACTGTATTCTGTTTTTTAAATTTTTTGATTTTTTTACCTAGTGTTGATGATATTTCCTATACTATGACAATAGTCTTTGCATAACTTTGTATTTTTTTAAAGACCTGTTGTAAATATGATATTGTTTAAGTATAAACCAGTGCAGTAATTATACGATTTTGAACTTTGAAACATAATATCATAAACTGTATTTAAGGGTTTCTGTCTTCAGATAAAAGACTGCTTACAAAACACTTCACTTTTGTTTAGCTGACGACACTGTGTTTAGTGTTTTGGACCAGTGTGGCGGTTTGTCTTATGTCAGCCGTGTCTATTGTCTGTGTCTGGTCAAAGTGATGTAATACACGACGGTCTGCCAAAGAGATTGGCCTCAACTCTGGTAAGAGCATTTGCTGGATAAGAACCAAAAGGATGCTGGATCTTTTCCTCTGGCCAAGTTCTCACATGCTCTTGGCCTAGACCTGTTAATGTGCTTAAGAATTTGAATCTTAATGATGCCTCAATCACCACATAAAATTGTCTCAAATCAATGCATTGTGGGTCTCCAAGAGGCTTTTCTGAACATAGATAAATCTTTTTTTACTATGTGTACCCTTTGCCTTGCTAGAAATATGACTTGTATAGAGAAATCTATAAATGTATGGCTGATCTGGCTAATGTTTACTCTGATGACAAATAGTGTGAAACTGATGTTTTGTATCATTATGGATTACAGTACTGTGCATGTTGTATTTGTTTATATGACTCCTAATTAGTTAGACAATTGTAGTCAGTTATTCTTGTGAAAACATGAAAAATAGCACTTCACTAATTACTTTACGTGTCACAAAACTTCTCTTCATATTTTTTACTTGCTTGTTTTGAGGTTTTGTCTATTTTAATACATTGGTGTGCCTGTGTTGGTTCATATAGCGCTGTCTTCATCAGTGTTGTTTATGTGTATCTGGAACACATAATGAGGTCATGACTGCTGGAAGAAAAGCAGTCACTTAATTGATTCACTGCATGTTTCATTATCTTTTATACAACATCTTCAGGTCACTTTGTTTTTCTTCCATTTATAGTACGTTGTAACCACAAGATATTATTCTGTGTTGATTGAATGATTAAAGTACACAACAACAAAAGGGTTCATTTTGTTGTGTCGCTTCTTTATTGATCATAATTAGACACTGTATGCTGCATCTTCATCACATGTCTGAGCTATTCACAACCAGGCTCCACCCTGCTTTTCATTCTCGCTTTTGTGTTGGTTTTTTTCAGGTCTTTGCCTTGTTTAAGGGTGATGACATAACAGTCTTTTGTAGTCAGGGTTTCAAATGACATCCAGAGTTGTAAGAACAAAGGTGGTAGGTTTCAAACTTTATTACATAGGCCTAGTTAACTACAAATTGATGCTTTATAGAAGTAGTAAAACAACAATGGTAATTTCACTTGTCACTATATTTGCTTCCTGCATGCTGTACTATATGCTTTGGGCTGATATGTGTTATGTTTGCTGTAAAAGATCACAATTGTATTACAAGCCAAACACCAGTATAACACCATAATTTTGTCATTTTTTACATGATCCTATATGTTCTACTCTATGCATCCTTTCATCCACCCCCTTCCCTCTTTCATAACTCTTGTTTATCCTCTCTACTGAGCAGAGACGTGTTGATGATATGGGGCCCGTATTTCCTGGTCAGAAGGGAACAAGTCTCTGGTGCTTTTGATCAAGTGCAAGATGAGACATGTCTGCTGCTCCCCAGTGTGTGCCACAGTGACTGATCTAGCAGTGTAATGGGCAGGCACAAGCAGACCAAAGCAAGCCAGACACCCACACATATTTTACCCAATGCGTCTCGCTCAGGGATACAACATCAGATTGGGCATGTGTAGTAGCTTTTGCTCGCAGTGGGGTGGCTTGTTTGTCCAACACAAGGGAGCAAAAAGGAGATGTTGTGTGTGATTTCCCCTTTCTTGGCCTCTTTTTGCCTCTGACAGTAAGATGGATGATCGCAATCACAGGAGCCATCACTGAGACAGAGTGGAGGTCTATGGGGCAGGCAGACACAGCCGAGGGAAGCCAGCCGTCACATTACAGCACAGTGCTGCTATGGGAACACCCCAGCCTGTTTATTTTTTCAAAAGGGTTCAGTGTTTAGTATGCATTTTCTTTTCTTTTTTTCTACCCCTGCTGTGATGCTTTTTAATCTGCCATTTCAGGGTTAACAAAGTTGGGACAATAAAATGTGTAGGCCAAATCGCATCTATAAAATTAAGTGAACACAACAGCAAAGTCCAATAGACAATAGGTGTGTACAGGATGCTTAAACTGTTTGCTGTCATATCAAGTTTTAATTCTATAGGTTTTGTAATATGCAGATAATTTTTGCCTTCTCATAATCCACCTGAATGTTTATAGAATATAGGATCATAAACACACCATTATGCTGGAAAATCAATATCTGTTAAGCCAATACAAATGTAAGAAATTTTACAATGATTAGTCTGGTTTCTTTGATCCCTTGTGGGAATGAGAGAGACAGACTTTTGTCTCCCCCGGATGTTTTTAGGAGAAACATCTGTTGCTGCACAAATGAGATTAGTGTGTCTCCAGAGGCTCCACTTATGAATGGCAAGGTTATTGAAGTGGGGGTCTGGTCAAAAGATGAGACAGGGATCTAAGTGCCTTAAATAAAATAAAATAGATCCTTGTTATGAGACTTAATCAATATTGTAGTGTTGTAGACTCATCATTGTTGATTTATTTTAACTTATTTCAACAACTTTGCAAATAAAAATCAGTATAGTTAAAATACTTTATTTACTAAAATGAACAAGGCTGCTTAAAGTGCATATGACATTTCACTAAAGCATCATTTATATTTTTATTTATAGTTTTACTTCCAGAAAATATGACATACTCCATTACTGCTACCTATCAACCATAAAGTAAACAAGGCCTAAAAAATATCTTCCTTGCTTATAAATTGTTTCTGCTTTTTGGATGGAATTTTCTTTGTTGATGACATAGGCAGGCCTAAAGGCCTATATTTTTGTACTTTTCTTTTCAACCTCAACAAACTTCCACTTAACTGTAGTAAATATTTATCACTGATATCACCAAACGAAGTAATAATTTGAAAAACATAAAAATATGTCATGCACATTAATTGGCACATATTTAGGTTGACACTTTTTGATTTAGGCTAATGTGGTTATAATCTTATTATATTAATATTCCATTAATAAATAATTAAAGTTATTTCTGAGTTCTAATATCCATGTTTGGTTAAAAGTTAAGAATGTAGCCATAGCAATTAAAACTAAATTATGGATGAGCCAAATTTGCATATTATTTGCAAACCACATACCAGTCTTTGGTTGTGCGATAGACAAACTTGTTCAGGTTGGACTCCCAGAATGTGGGTTTGCCTAATTTAGAGTTAATTTTCTCCACTTTGTTGCCCTCCTCTTGATCATTTCTTGTTTAGAACTACAGTGGAAAGGATGTAGTCCACTTTTAGTGGAAATGCCCAGGTCACAGGACAATAGATGGCTGAAGCACAAAGATACTGAGGTTTTCTTCATTGACACAGGCCTATTGTAATTACCTCCTCTAGTATATGCTGAAAAAGCATCAGACTAGGAAGGAGTAACACAGTCTTGTGTTTCACAGTATATCAAATTACTCACAAGCAGCATTTAGGGTGTATTTCTTAAAACACATTCTATTTCCACATGAACCTCACTTTCACATCTTCAGGTTTAAGATAATCTGTTTATAAACTGAGGTCAACTGATCTGAAAACACAAAATATGCTATATCCCTGAGTTGTACAAGTAGACCTAAATCATAACAAAAGTGCAAACAACAGTACACTTTGATTGTCAAGTAAAAACTAAATAAATAATCTCCCAAATTAGTTAGGCTGGTGTAAACAAATGTGGTGAATCTCAGGAAGATTAAAGACGTCAGGTTTAGAGACCTTGTCCATCCCAGAAATGTGAGTGTGAAAAGCCCGGATCAGACCAGAACCATCGTTCCAGACTATGGACCACCTGTGTGGTGCCAATGCTTTTGCGCACGGCCCTGCAGGCACTGCAGTAGTGGTGGGCCCAGAAGGAGGGCTGCACGGTGCTGTATCCTTCCCTCCAGTCCAGGTGGTCCCATAGTCTGTTTGGGTTACGGCGGAGCATGAGCAGGTATCGGGCCAAGCCACGCACAGAGGGGAAGTCATTTACGTGGATGAAGGCTTTGGGTGGCAAAAAACGCTCATAATTACGCCGTGACGCACCAAGGACTACAGGCACGGCCCCTGCTACTACCGCGTTCCACAGCTTCTCTGTGATGTAGTCCGTGTGTTGAGAGTTCTCTAGTGCAAGATAAAACTGGTACCTGGACAGGAGTCGTACAACGTTTCCACTACCCGCAGCCAGTGGGAGGCCCACTCGTCCAAAAATGTCAATGCGCACATAACGCTGAAGCTCATAAAAAAAGGCCACGCGCGCTTGTGAGTCTGACCAGTTGCTGATGACCCATGCCACAAGGCGAGGACGTTGGAGACGTGCGCGTGAGGGAGCATGCAGCAGGTGCGCATCAGGGTTCCGTGTGATCCCCGGATCTAGATATCCATAAGGCAAAAAAATGTCCGAGTCGGCGCGATAGGTCAGCGTCAAGTTGAATTTGCCCTCAAGTCGCCACAAAGCAGGCGTGTGCGTGGGAGACTCATAGTTCATCCAAATCCACTTTTGCGCACGAGGACGCGTCTCCGATGGAAGTTCTGCAGCACCTGTAGCAATCTCCCGGTGATGGATGATCACAGCGTCCACGTTAGGATACGCCAAAGGATCGTCTGTAAGTGTACACCCCTCAATCTGGTACCGTGCCCAGCAGTCCGGAAGCTTCCGATATTGGCCGAATGGATGAGTCCAGACTAGTAGAGTTACGTTCCTGTTTGCAGCTGAATTCGGAAGATCTTGTTGTAACTCTGGTAGGTAGAGCAGACACGCGCATATAAGCAGAAAAAAAACAGCCGTGGCCACTGGCATAGAGGAGCTTGCTCTTCTCAATGCGCGCGTACCACGTCTAAGTAGATGTCGGAGTGTACAAGCTCCAAGAGACAAGTGCCACTGCATCTCCAACTCGTTCAGCGGGTCATGCCTGCGTTCATTTATCCATCATAGAAACATTTGGACAAGCAGTTTCAATAACATGATTGCAAGGTTAATAATAAGACAAAAAGTTAGATCCGGTTCATAGCAGCCCGGGGTCAAAGTCTGTCGTCGCACCTTATTGTCCGAGCCTGATATGTGAGATCCTGTGTTCTAAAGACTGTAAACTACCCAAACACACTGCAGCGGTGCAAACATGACGTGGCATCGCTGCTTAGAGATCCGCTTCCCGGCTGTGAAAGAAGCCTTTTGTGAGGATTTGGCCCTCCTGCTTTTTGGCTAGGGAGGCTATAGGTAACCACCTTATGTCCACATGAAACAAGCAAACCAAGAGAGTTTTCCTACACAAACATCTAATCTTAAAGATGAAGGTCAATCCTTGCACGGAGTAGTCTAGATGGCTAAAAGGCCACTGGCCTTTGGCTGCTCCATAGAATGATACAAAAACTGAGTAGTAAACTTGATAACATTTGCTATTTCGCTATGTGACCACTAGGTGCCTCCCTACACTTATACAAAGCTGTAGTATTGGCCAGTATGGGAAGCCCCCCAATGACATGCATGTTTGATTTGACTAATTAATAAAAAAAATATTCAGAATTAGGCATGCAGTTGAGACACTTTGAATTGGAATTTATCTGTAATGTTTTATGTAGGCCTACTAATTAATTACAAGTTGCTCCAGTTTTCCTGGACATTTTTGACTATCCACATTATTATTCAGGACTTGCCAGGAAAGCTCAGTTGCTGCAAACTGAAAATGTAAATTGTAAATAGCCTACGCATATGTGAGTCACTTCAAAACATGGATTTAAATCACAAATTTGCTGAAGCAAAATATGTGCCCAACAAACAGTGTCTTTGTGTTACTTATCACTGTTGGGAATGCATTCTGATCAGAACTCATGAAAGAATGATGAGAGAGCAGCTGTGCTGTATAGCCTAGTGTTGTGTCTGTAGTTCTGGTGGGCAGGAAAAACACAGCCAAAGACCGGGACAACATTATTCCTCCCCAAAGACGTAGAGTGTGTCCTGAAGTCTGGATGTAAGTGGAAAAAAACGGTCGACAAGGAGGAGTGGGAGGAGATGAAGCAAGAAGCATGTGTCTCTCCACTGGGTCCTCCTCCTTCCTGCTCCATCCATTCACTTTTCTTCACCCAGACAGGAAAAAGAGACCTTTGTGCATGTGTGTGTCACTCCTAATCCCTGTAGTTTTGTATTCTCAATGCATTATTTACACTACTTTTCAAATGGCGCAGTTTTGCTCACATTCAAACATTTACTATATTGTTTGCAATGGTCTTGTGTTTAACAATACTGGTTTTAATGAATACATAAGGTGTAAAATTACAGCTTTCTATAAAATTTCTGTTATGCATTTATACCCTCTTGACCAGGTTGAACATTTTTGTCTAATCATGAATAATTGCATTGAATTTACAGGCATAGGAACAATATATATTTGATATTTACACATATTTCTATTTCATAATTTTATGTAATAAATGTAAAATTTGTGCCCTTGTGATTTCAGACAGATTTGCCTTTCTTCAAAATATTTTTTGATAAAATTTTCACTTATCTATATTATTTTTAAGCCTTTTGTTATGAGCTTATTGTCTCTTACATTGAATTGTCACACTCTTTCTCTATTAAACTCTTATGGTAACACAAACAAGCAGCTCAGATGAAGATGTAAAACAGATGTAAAATCCTGTCAACTTTTATGTAGCCTAGTGTATTGCTTGGCAGTCGACCTTAGAGAATTAGAAATGGAGCAGGCAACACACAAATGCAGTCCACACAACAGCTTTACAAATCATTTATGGTATTTTTGTCCATCTACCATGCTAGGCACACTGCTATCTTCTTGTTGTCAGAAATAACACTATTGCGTTTGGGAATGTGTGTGAATCAGGCCAGTGCAGACAGAAACATTCAGTTTTTGATGGGACCCCCAGGTCTTCACTCATCCACCCTATTGATTTTCTCTTACTTTCCTTTTTGCACACCCAGGGGAAGGGATGTCTCAATTGGTCTCGGCCAGTCAAGGAGAGTGTGAGTGATAAAGAAATAGATAGAGGAAGAAGCAACTACTAAACTGGGCAGAGCAGGAGGAGGTGGTGACTGGATCAGAGGCCCTGGCTGACCCTCGACCTTGATCGTGACCTCAGAGGTTGGCCCTGGGGTCAGAGGTTGTGTGAAAGTGCCACTGTGGCGATTCACTCCACTGCTGGCTGATGATGATCTTATGCAGCCTCCCCAGCCTGTCTGACATGATCAGTGTTGCTATCTGCCCGCGGCTCCCAGGGGCCACACATCCCGCTCTATAACCCGGCCACACTAGGCCCGCTAAAAGCACCTCACAGGCAGAGTCTATGAGCACAAGGAGAGGGGACACAAACGAAAAAGTGGGAGAGCTTAAGGACATCAGGCTATACCACTGTTGTGAACCAATGAGGCCTTTTAAAGGTTAAATCTGTGTCTCCTCTTCACTGTAATTTAACTATGGGTTGTTATAAAACAAGAAAAGAGAATGCTTTCAGAAGTCTGATGAGTAACTTGTGTAGCAGGAACATGATAATTTGTAGGTGGATAGAAAACTGGAGAGTGTTACTTTTACCGACATACACCATGTACCCCCTACCGCTTCAAAGTGGTTCGGAGTCTATGAAGCTTCAACCAAGTCCTTATGAGATAAAACATTTGCAAAATTGTAAATTAATATTGGGATTGGGGGAAAAATGAAAATATATTTTTTATACAAATGTAATTAAAATACATGTTTTAAGAAAATTTAATTACATTTTTCTAAAAATACCTCTTGAAGGTACATTTTTCTTTTTTGGAGGTCAGTATCGGTGACTATAACTAAAAATGAGTGATAAAGTAATGGTTATTTATAAAAACAGATGATCTAATATTCTTGTTTACATAAGACAAAAATGATAACGAAAAGTTGATTTGTGTGAACAATTATGCATTAATTATAAGAATTCAGTTCAACTGTTGGATTTAAATTAACATCTCAGATTACTCACAAAAATAAATGTGTGATATCGTGAGATTTTCAAGTCAGTTGCACCATTCAAGTTGTTAAAAGAATAAGTCACAAAGTGCTTCAAATCAAGTAATGATCTAAAATGAGCTTATTATCTGAGAAAAGTACCCACCTTTGTATTCACACCAATGCAGTCAAAGAGCTGTTATTATCTATGGCAAATTCTTGTGTTATTTTTAGGGAATGCAATTAAAGGGCAATGGGTGTGAAAAATGAATGTGATTGGGGTGGTGGAAAATAAAGCCATAAAATATTTCTATAAAAGTTAAGCTGATAGACCTTTGTAAAAAAAAAAAAAAAAAAAGTATAAAAAGTGCAATTTCGGTCTGCAAATTGAGCTTTACAGCACCCTGGATTCGCAGACAAGTCAAATTTGGGAACCCACAAAATTAAAAAAGAATGTGTACCAGATGTGGTGAGTATATACGTGAGCTTAGGCGTTGGTTTTTGTGTCGGTGTGCAAAGGAGCTGGAGGAAGTGTATTTATTTTAAGGTACTTGCAGCTGCATTTTGACACAGGGATTTTGGGTGATACATTTTGTACTATGTAATTACAAATTCTTTGCATATCCTGCTGAGGCACATCCACAAATGGAGGGGTCAGAGGACAGGGTCTGCAGGAGGAGCCAGGGTTCAGTGTGTGGCTCAAGGTCAATGCAAAAACAGACACCAACACAGTCTGTCTGTCCTCAAACACGTGGGAGGAGGAGAGGACATGTATTCAATATTTATCCAATTTATCCAAGTTATAGAGCACTCAAACCTATAGGCCAATTGTTTTCAGATGATGACATTCAATAAGGATATTATGTTTAACTGAGATTGCCGGCAGGTCAAATGAAGGTCTATAATGTACAGACTTTTGGCGTGAAATAGTGGGATCATAAAGTTTTTTGCTTAAACTTTATTTTAGTTTATTTCCAAGATAACCAATACATGTACAATTTTTTTTAAATGAGCATTTGATAAACTAATAATAATAATCTAAAAATAAAAAAAAGTAAACCTATTGATTGTTTAGAGCTTGCCTATGTCAAGCTATTACTGGTTAATACTGGTTAATACAGAAATAATTGACTTAATATTAATGTATTGGTGATTTATTTTTATATTTGGCATTTTATGTAGTCTTCTTCAGTAGCCTTGAAACCTCTTTGCTCACATAAATCCACGTACCAAAACTAAATAATGTGAAAAGCCTAATTGCCAGACTTTTCCACATCACAGTCCTGTGTGTTGGGGTTAACAAAAGCGCTTGCTGTTGACGCCACTTTGGTTATTTACCTGTAATATGTGACTGTTGATAAAATGCTATTTAAGCAGTTATAATGGCGTTATTAAGGCAACACTCCCGTAGGGTGACTCCATTCCGGACATCAGCCGTTGCTTTAGCACGAGGTGGGCGGAGTCCGGTCCGGGTCTTCCTTTCGGCCGGTCCTCTCCACTGAACTCCAACCCCCGCGCTCTCTATCAGCATCTCATTCCTGTCTCAATATGTCTCAAGATGGCGGCCAA